GGGGGGGGGGGAGGGGGTTTCAGACACGCACACGGGCGTCATATCGCCTTATCTCAAGTTTATCTGCGATTGCTCTGCGTTGACCAAAAAAAAATCGTGTTGTTGGTGCTGAGGGTTCTGGGGTCACAAGAACACCGTGTGCTGGTGAGTGCAACAATCACCGGGGTTTGCATAGGCGCGGAGGCGTACCTATGTTTCTTTGGGCTTATCAGAAACGTGTCACTTGGTTGGGGGAATGTTCTTCGGGTCGTGGAGTAAACGTGCTTTGAAAAAACCAGTCTAGATAGAAGGGGTGTGTGGTATTTTGCGCAACCTATGTGAAGGCTCGATCGTAGCGCCCATCCCTATCTCTCCTCACCCAGCTCTCGCCGGCGGTCGAGCACGCTTCCCAGGCACCGCAACTCCCCCTCCACCAGCGCCCGAAGCACCTCTTCCACCTCTAAAGTCGAGCCCGTACCGGACCCCCCCCCGCGCTGCTGCTCTAGTACCGCCCCCGCCCTCGGGGCCTCCCCCAGCATCCGACAGATACTCCCCAAGAACAGCCTCAGGCTGCCGGCATGCAACGGAGGGGGCCGGGCTGCCGCCGCCGCGTCAGCGGCTTTCCCCCCGCCCCCCGCCTCCGCTGAACCGCGCTGCTGCTCTAGGCTAAGAGGACGGTCATCGCCTGCTGCTTGCCACGGAAACGAAGCACTGCCGGTGCCGCGGCAAGCAGCGGGGCCGGCTACCGTGAGTTGCTCGGAGGGCAACGGCTGCGCCGCAGGTGCCGGCGGCCCCGGCGGCGGCCGTCTTCCTTCTGCTACCGGCCTGGGCCGGAGCAACCGATGGCTCTGGAGCTGTGCAGAGAGGCCGAGGTACCGCTGCAGGAGGTGCGTGGGGAGGCTTGGGACGGCCGCCAGAGACGGGCCGGCAGCGGAGACTAACTTCGACAAGGCCACCGCACCCACCTGTCGGAAGTTGTGGCCAAGGGGTAGCGTTACGATGGCTCGGGGGGGGGGGCAGTTTGGAGAGGGAACACAAGCAAGCTTGGTGCGAGAGAGCACACAACTGCAGAAAGGAAAAAAAACAAGAGAGAGAATTCTATTCCAGGCTTTTAAACCTGTTGAAGATGAATTTATTGTGTTACAAACATAGGGGAAAAAATGGGCTGACAGGAAGTGGCTACAGCCCTGCCGCAACAGCAACCTCCAGGAGCAAGTGCGGGGCCGGGAGGGCTGGGAGAAAGGTCAGAGAAAGAAAAAACACGGGGAATTACGTAGCATATACCGGGCTGGCGGTGCGTTAAAAGATGGAAGGACAAGATGGGGAATCTCAATCTCGCGTCGCAAGCAAACGACGACCAAAACGACAACCGATAAAAAAAAAAATCCCATCTTCCTAAAAACGAAAACACACACACGCTACGCGCGTGCTGAGGAGTGGCTACAGAACAAACGCAGCAAGCAAATCACGCTTGTGCGCGTCTCACTCACATGGTCTTCGCCCTTGTCCCGCATGAACGCCTGCCCCCCCCCTTCCTCCTCCAGCCCCAGCACCCCGAGCACTGACTGCAGCGCCGGCTCCAGGCTCCTCGGCCTCCTCGCCAGCCACGCCGCCAGCCCCCCGACCAAAACCGCCGCAGATCTCTGCAACTCCCTCCGGCCCGGCGGTAGCGACGGCAGCATCTCCACGAGCGCCTCCGTGGCTCCCGTTCCCCGACCACCGTCACCGACCACGCCGCCGTCCGCGGGGACGTATACCCGGAACGCGGCGGCGGCGGCGGTTGCAGCATCACCGTTCGTGCCCGCTCCTCCCAACAGGGCCGGCGCAGGGGAGGAGGGGGACGGGGAGCAGAAGTCGCGTAGGTTTATCGCCTTCGTCACGGCGCTGAGCATGCGGAGCGCAACCTCGACTCCCGACCAGTCCCCTCCCCCTCCCCCTCCGCCTGCCGCGCCATCCAACAACGCTCCTCCTCCTTCTCCTCCGCCCGCTTGGGCTGTAGCGGAAGGGTCCGCTCCCCCGCTGCCGCCGCTGCTGATGCTGCCGTCCAAGCCACCGCCGGTGGTGCCGTTGCTGGACGTGCCGCTGTACCGCCGTTGCTGCTGCTCCTGGAGGGCCTCTCGGGTGCTGGAAGCGGCCAGCCCTTCCAGCCACTCCAGCAGCCCGCTCTGCACCGGGGACAGCACCATTTCCATCCCCGCCCCGTCCTCCCCCAAGCTGCGGCGACGACTGCTTGCGCTCCCACCGCCGTCGCTGTTGCTCCTCCTGCTGCCGTCAGGCGTAACCGCAGCCGTCGCCGCCGCCGTAGACAGAGAAGGGGAAGAACGACGCCCTGGGTACATACCCGCCCCGTTGTCCGGACTCATCGCCCCGCCGATACCGTTCACCCCCCCCGCCCGTTCCCAGCCCCGCCCGCTGCTAATGCCGCCGACCCCGCTTCCTCTAGCGTGGAAGCCTGGCCTGGGAGGGGACGGGGTCCCAGCAGCCCCGCCGCCCTTGGAGGAAGACCGCTGCTGATTTTGCTCCCACGGGGGCGCGGGCATGATGAGGGTCTGCAGGAGATCCTGCACCTGGTGGCGGCGGAACATCGTCGCGGTTGTTGTTGTTGTTGCTGTTGTTATTGCTGTTGTTATCGTTACTGTTGCTGTTGTTGTTGTTGTTGTTGCTGCTGCTGTTGCTGTTGCTGCTGTTGCTGTTGCTATTGTAGTAATGCTGATCCACCGCCTTGTTGTTGACATTGTTGTTATCTGCGGCGGGTTAGGGGAGCAGCTGCTGGGAGACTGGCCGACTGACTGACTGCTGCACAATCGTTGCGTTGTACACGCGTGTTTCACTGACTTTCGGTGCCCTCGGCATGCACGGCTTGTGGTTGAAGAGGCGGGCCCGTTTCCAGGAAACAACAAAAGGTTTTCGATTCGAGCACACCACAATGACGACAGGGGGTGGAGAGCCAGT